TTTTTTGGCATTTTGTGAATTAATTGAATCTCATAGAAACGTGTAATGATTGATATTACCTGCATATAATTATGGATAAAGTGAGAGAGATTATGTTTTATAAGGAAAAATCTTAATGCCTCGGCTCAATGACCGGCACAGCCGCCCCCCTCCAATAGGTGGTGCCCCTGTAAATGTTCCGATCATTGAGCCGAGGCATAAAGCATCTCTCGTGTTATAAATCAAGAATTAGATTATAAAGTTCTTAAATTAAGAGTAGCTTCAATAGTTGGGGTGGGGTGGGGCAGGGGGGGCGGGACGAGGTGATAATTCGGAATTGAGGGGACAACAATGACTACAGGGTCATTGGGTATTCGATCTTCGAGAAGTTGTGGATCATTGCAACATCAGCAATTTCGGAGTAGTTTATTATCATTTTCAATCCAAACTATACCTCCACCTCTAGTGCCAAGAAAGCGTGTCAAGATGCTTAAAATGACAATTTTTTTCATTAGAAAAGAATTTGCTTAGAATGGGGTATTATCATTTAATCAGGTGTGTGTGGGTTTAACGTCTGTCTGTACAGCGCTACATCGCTCGATTTTGGATGTTTTTGTGTTGGGTTACTGAATTTAAAAAAAAAAATTTGTTAAAAAAATAAAAGATATAAAGGTACAATCAATTTCAAATACCAACTTAATAATTTCTTTCGAATTACTAATTTTCTAAAATAGATTACTTGAAATAACATGTTACCAAAGTAACATCTCTTACTTAAATTAATTTATTTGGAATATTAGGAAAGTTGTGTGTACGTAATTCATACGAATATTGACGGTCCAAAGGAATGTTCATATTTGGCCTAATTATTTACACACATGTGGTAATAAATATGTGATAATTGTAAAGTTTTTCATTATTTGAACATTAATTTGTACAAAGATAGACTTGATATTTGACATGATTTAATATCAATATTTGATTACTACACCAAGAGTGTCACTTACAAGTTGGTATTTCTGTCCAAAAACTAAATATCAATATTGTGCACGGTCTCTTGTTATGGGGTTCACCATTATTTAAAATCATTGATTTATCATTACTGATTCCAACCTGAACATGTTATTTAGATTTAAGTTCTCTATTCGATTAATCCATCTATTTCTATAATATCTGTCAACTAATCAATTATATTCCAGTAACATTTAGGGGCGATAAGGTAACTACTGCCAACGAGTTTCTCGATGAAATTGAAAAACGCTTTACAAAAGACAATAAGGTTGAAATTAGCATTTCTTTTAGCGAATTTAGTTTCACTAAAGTATAAGGGTAAAGAAAACATAAGGGAGTACATCATGGAGATGTCTCATCTTACTTCAAAACTAAAGCATTAAATCTTGAGATGTTTAATGACTTGCTTGTGCATTTAATTTTGATTTCTACTGTTGCACAATTCGGATAATTTAAGGTCAGTTACAACTGTCCAAAGGAAAAGTGAACTCTTAGTGAGTTCTTTTCATATTTTGTGCAAGAAGAAGAAATGTTAAAATAAGATAAAATTGATATTATTTACTTGACAAGTACCTCTAAAAACAAGTAATAAAGAATAAGAAAGCTGCATCCGGTTTGATTCAATATAAAAAATGAAAGCTTGGAAAGGATAAATCTAACAATTACTTTATGTGAAAATTTGTGATACATAAAGAGATACTGTATTAAATAACACGCTTGGCGTATAAAGAAAAATACACTTCTCACTTTAGTTTATTTTAAAGTTAATTTAGTTTCCATACTTAGATACACTTGGTGCATAAATTTCAGTACCACTACTTAGCATCATGTTAGTCAGTTTTTCAGTACCACTAATATGTGCTCGGCATCATGTTAGTCAGTTTTTCTCGATACTTGACAGTTCCACATATGGAACATTGGTCATCCGAGTGTAATATGTGTATTTCGCATTAATATGTACGACATATTGTGCACCACAATTTTTTCATGTGTTTTCGTGTAGTTGTAACATATTGTTTCCTGTGTTATTTTTCGATATGTGGAGCCTAATATAGTTTTCCCCGACAATGAAATTTTTAATTGTTATAAGTATATTCTTTAGTACATATGCACATGTAATAGGTCGTCCTAATATTTTCCTCTTATACAACGGGTAGAATTGATTGCCTCCGTTTTGTGCGTCATTGTATAGAGAACATAGTGATTTGATTGAAAAATATTGTGTACTTGTCCTTTTCGATATAGTGCAATCCTCTAGCGATTGACATAGCTCTCATATTTAGAATAAACCACCATAGACATTTTCTTGTTCTCGTCATACATTGGTAAGATATTGTCCCGCGTTTCAATGTGTGACTAGTTGACTCTTATCATATGATCCTACATTGCATGTTTGTTAATTGGATTCTACACTTGGGAAATATGAAAACATGACCATTTTCTTTTTGTTTATACATTGCAGGGACCATGGATTTCGAATTTCTGGTTCCGGAAGACGCACGATTGCGTGCACGGATTTCCTAACGTAACAACTTGAAGTACATGTCCAGGGTGTTGGAGCTATTTGATAAGCGTCGCGACACGATTTCAAAGAGTCTTCCCTTGGCTTCTTGGCTGACGTATCAGACATCCAATTCTCAGCTCAACTCATCCAACAGCTTGTGTTTAGAAGCATTCGAACAGACAATACGCATAAGCTGTGGTTCAACGTCCAAGGACACTACTATCGGTTTGGACTACAAGAGTACGCGGTGGTGACGGGGATACATTGTGGTGTCCCTCCAGACGATGATCGGTTCCAGCCAGCCCTGGATAAAAAAAGATCGAAGGACAAGTATTTCAAATCTTTGGACAAGATTTCCTGTACACATATTGAGAAGACATGTGCTCGGTCGTCGACCCTACGGGCTGATAGATACAAGCTGGGGCTTGCTCTAATAACGGGCCTCAAGTACTTTATGTAACCACGAATGCTTGCACCGAAAGTTAGAAAGAAGCAATTGAACCTATTATGAGAATCAACTTTCGATGTGGGTTATCGTCCTCGAGTACCCTCTCTTAGAACGTGACAGTATGAAGATAGTTTTTAAAAACTATCCTCTGGTGTACCATGGAGCAAATGTAAAGCAGCCAACTTCCCCCTACGTGCTTTGCTGTAACTGATTTCAACACCAAACTTACGTGCAATATCAGAACGATCATAGAAGATAGTTTTTGAAAACTATCCTTTGGTGCACCATGTAGCAAATGTAAAACAGCCACCTTCCCCCCTAAGTGCATTGTTATAACTAATTTCGACACCGAACTCACGTTAGTAGGGTTATACGATCGGTATAGATCGTCCAATGTTGTCAAAATATGCTTGGCAATTACAGAACTAGTGGCATGTCGACGTGCGTTGCAACGGAAATCTATGACACATGTGTGCACATTGTTGAATTTACGGATCATGGAGACAGCAGATTTTTTCACAGTCAAAGCACGTAGCATCCACATGCAATTATCGTCAGCGCATACAACAGTTAATATTTTCATGCTTGACCTACTGACCTTAAATTGGAACTTATCTTGCAAAGCAAGTACACGAATTCTCCAATACAACTCTTTCTTACTGAAGAATATTTGCCTTTCGACTAGATCAGATGAATTCACTCTTGTAATCCATTCGTATCTATCCGATGTTCTGGAATGTGAAGACACTTGCCCATCAACATCATCAATATTAGCAGCCTCTGTACCATGTAATGGGTTGTCCAAGTTCTCATCTGAAGGTCCAATCCCAATATCAAAATTTGGAGTTTCGGGTGCATTATTGTTTGATACACTATGATTATGATTGAGTTCCTCATGTTGTACATTTTGGTGAACATCCGTTACGACAAACGAACGATTTGGACAATTTGTATCCCTCCCCATGCCAACACTTGGGAGCTCGGCTTCCAAAACAGTAACGCATATCGTAGTTTTATTATGAACTGATATGTACCAATTTAAGTCTTCATCCTCACGTATTTCGACCGGAGGTATATTCAAGTTCGGGACTTTGAACTTCAATTCAATTCGAGTGCGGGGATCAAGAATAATAAGTTTGTCCTTCAATCGTAGTACGAGTCCGGTTAGGGTAATACTTGTCGGCACTAAAATAGAAGTGGTTTTGTCCCATCTTCACTTTCATTCGTCATCCACATGAACAAAATGTCCCACATATGACATGATGAATCTCAAATGATTACTCATACTTGAAACGTTGAGATTGCAACGGTGAGAATTTCGCACAATAAATATGTCTACTTTTAATAATATGAATGTGGAACGTTCGAATATTGAAATCCATGGAGTAGTAGAAGGTGAAATCAAGGACGTGTCAACAGTTTTCAAGTGTCGAATTCGACTGTTAATTGGTCTATCCGGCAGTTCATAAATGCCGGGTTCGACAATTCACATGTCTAAACCGACTGTTTCAACATAACTATTCCACAGATAAACTGTACGAAGTGCCGGAAAACTTCAAAATATGTATTTGGTACATTTGAATAAATTATTGAAAACATTAATGGTGATAATAAATTCTCAATTATCACATGAAAACATCTTCTCATTAATAAATAATTCAATACTTCATTAAATATGAAATCTTTCAGTTTTGTACAAGATATTGATATTTTCATCTTTCACAAATATTTCAAAAACCAAACAAATTAATGAATAATAGTTTCAAAAATTTCTTCCGTTGCATTTGACCATATTATATTTAACATCTAATAAATAGGAATCTATAAGATAAAACTATAAACAATTTGTAAAGTCTAACCTCTTAAAATGGACGATGAATTCAATAGTAATGTGTTCTTGATGAAAAAATGAAGAAGATTAAGAAGGAGTTAGGTTTGTTAATGGGAAGAAGATGATGTGCGGTTATTTTAATATTTCAAATTATTTTATCTTTTTTTTTAACAAAATTCGTATTACTCAATATAATATACATATAAACAATTTTTATAATATTTAAAGTAAAACATCACATCACAACATTAATTACATTCAAATTAAACCTTAAATGCTCATAAAAAGATGGTATTAAGGATAATTTGGACATTTTGCACAAAAAAAGTGACATTTTTGCTCACAAAAAGTGAAAATGACAATTTTTTTGGATTTTCAAATTTAGCCCCTGTTTGATAAACATTAAAAATTTCATTATCATTCTTCTACTCATTTTCAACCACACATTTTTCAATAAAATAATATTTTCAATCATATCAATAACTTTTCCTTCACTTTCAATCACACATTCTCCATCAATCTATTATTTCAGAATATATTCTTCCAAAATAATGTGGCTCAAACACACCCTTAGTGACATTTAAGAAAATTCCCCAATAAAAAATCAGGTCAATATATTTTAGTCATGTTTTTCTTTAGCACAAATTTCTAGGAAGGTTTCTATGTCAAGATTTTCCATTTTATTTCATGATCAGCTAATATTTTTTCAATCATGCTATACAAACATGCTCAAAATCAAGCTAAAAAACATGGGATACATGTGTCGATACATGATTGGACAATTTGAAAAAAAAACTCAAACAGGTGTTGTCATGTCGTCTTTTTTCTGTCTTTGGATATGTTCAATCATCATTATTCATACTTTTTCACTATTAATTCTCAAGCCATTCGACAGAATCTCCTAATATTAAATTGAGTCAACATTTGAAATTTCATTCTTCTATTTTGTTTAATTAATTCTATAATTTTCCAAATTATATTTTGAGTTTGTCCAATTTCTTTTACGAGAAAGTATATAATATGATCGAGCTTATTTTGTTTCGTAAATAAGGGAAGAATCTTGTAGAGATTGTACAAATGGTGCTTAACCTTTAAATTTGGACATTCACATCCTAAACATTTCATATTTGCAGCACCATAATATTTCCAATAAGATAATCGAAAATAGAGTTCTCAACCTTTAAACAAATGAACATTGTCCAAGGCTCCACATTTCTATAAAGCCACAAATTTAAGAAACTTCACTCCAAATAATTTTGAAAAAGTGATCATAAAAAAAATTTAAATTGAAAAAATATCACTAAATGATACCTTCGAAAATCAATATTTGTTTAAGATTCAAATAGAATTATCAATAGTGAGAACATTAGTAATGATCGACAATCATGATTAACTGCCATTGACCAAGAAAAAGGAGAAAAAGAATACCTGTTATCCATAAATTTTGACTAGTTACAAGTCTGGCCCACGAAAGAGTGGTCCACCTTGAATTAATCTGAGTGTACAGAATGTTTCTTCTGTTTTTTTCACAGATAACTCACATGGGGTGGGGCCCATGTGAGTTAAAATATTGGAAAAAAACCACACCCACCCCCTGCTTGTGAGTATCTATTTTTTCCCCCTTTTTCCTGCTTCTGTACACCAAGTGCGGTTCGTCCACCTTAGCTGGTACATTGGCATAAATACTTATCATGCATAAATCTATGAGTTATGCTATATTGTCGGGGCCACACCCCCACCTATCATAGAGCCCTAGCACTACAATTGCTCATGTGGCCCTAGGAGTGCAATCCAGATTGCTTACTAAGGACCAGCTGTCGCATCTCAACTTAGATGTCACTTATGTTTTTGGTAATTCACAAGAGGAAACATGACAATACTTATTCTTCTAATGCCCATTCTACTCACTAGTTTGGAAGAATATTAAGGTATGGTTGGGCATTAGAAGAACAATGACTATGATTGCTACGACATTGAAGTGGATCAAGAAGGAAGTTAGAGAGACTTTCTGGTAGAGCAAGGTTAAGAGGATTGCATTGGCAAGCGTCATCTACCATATTTTGATGGCAATAAATAGGAGAATTTTTTAGAATCTAAGACTACATGTGGATATCATTGTTAGACGAATCAAAACACACGTATACAAAGTTATATTTTCTTTGTATCCGAATGTTTTGATTCAATTTGAGTCTTTTGCAATGGATCTTTAGATCATATCGTTTATACATCTTTCTTTTATTGTCCGAGTATGTCTCGAGTAGTTGTACGAGTCACTTGATTTTGTTTTATTCGGATATGCCCGGTGTATTTGTACAGTGTTGATCTAAAGTAATTTTTATTTTCCGATAAAAAAAAATCCCAAATCTATATATGTATCAAAATATTAGCAAAATAATGATTTTTATATTTTCTAACCGAATATCTATTGTCTTTCATCTGAGAAGCCTATGCCAATGTACCAGCTAAGCGTGGCTCTTTGAATTTTAGCGTGCATCATGGTTAGAAAACGAAAATAAATATAAAACGAGAAGAAAGATTTTCAATTTGACTGTTAACTAGCGATACATTGAAAACACGATAGATGAAAGTTGTTTAAACCAAAATAGGAAGAATTTAATTATCTAAAATATCAAAAAAAAAAAAAAAAAAAGAGAGAGAGAGAGAGAATAAAAAAAATTTGTGCAGTCAAAATATAAATATCTCCAAATTTTGGTGGCTCATAATTCCCATTACATACAAACCTCAAAAATATAAGGAGTTCTTCCTTTCTTTCTTTGTTTTCTTAATGAAAACGATTAAAGTAAAATCCAACGTACCCAATGATCATCACCAAAACGCAAGCCAAAGTAGTACTGGCCACGTGCCATCCACCCTCCTACACACGCATCCAAGAATTTATTTCTTGAATCGTCTTCTTGTCAGGAGTTCATTTGGGCAAAAACAATGGCTTTCTCTGGCACCTTGAGATGCCCACCATCTATTTGCCGCTTATCAAATTCGATTCCATCTGTATCTTCTTCTTCTTCAGTCTCTTTCCGTTTTACACCTTCAATTTTCAATAGCAAAAGGCCCCTCTTGTCCGTCAGTTCAGCTTCAGTGGAAGGTAATTTCTTGTATACATACATGGAATTAGATCAATTTATCGAGGTTTTTTTTATTATTATTATTATTATTTTTATTTTTATGATGATAAAATATAGAGAATAAAAGTGGGATACTTCAAGTTTTTTGGTGAAACGACCTTTTTTTGCCTTTGAATGTTTTATTTATTGACTTCGTGATTCACACCGGTGGTGTCGAAGCCTTTCTCACATATTCAAGCCTAAAAAAGGGCTTGAAATAATATGTTTATGAAGAAATAGATTCATGGGTTTGTGGATTGTGAATATTTTCTTGGAAATGACAGTGCAAGCATGGGATGCACTGTGATGCACTGTGAAGTGAAATTTAACAAGGGGAGGAGATAAGAAAAAAATGAAGCTTTGGGAAAGAAAATTTCAAAAATTAAACTAATATATTGCTTTTGAGGAGTGAAATAGCGATGACCCAATCAAGATGTTAATGCCTTTTCTTGTTTTATAGCATGTTTGGCTTAATATAAAGGCCAAGACGGTTTATGTACTTTTAGGTACATTTGGCACATGGATAGTAATAAAATGGATTAAGGTTTATGTTGCTAAACCTTATTAGAACAATTTTTAGGTTCTCTTGTGTTATTCACTAGCCTGATCATGCTCTTCATTTTGCCACAAACACTAGCCTCACACTCATTAGATTCCCGAAAACAAGCTGAAGTACCTCTGTATAGTGTTTTGTGCTTTTAGTTAAAGCCATCCAAATGGTTTGCTCACTGAATACTTCTTAGTGAAATTCTCTCTCTATTATTCTATATCCCTCAACTCCCTGTAGATATAGAGACCATCGGCGAATCACTCTGAGCCAATATTCATATAGGATTGAGATGCCTAATATGCCCTTACCGTTGCTCCCTCTTTAGATAAAGTCCAAAAATCTGGAGTAATGGACCTCTATAGTTTACAAATCTAGTTGATACATCTCAATTTCTGAAATGTTTTTGATACATGATGCATTGAATGTTTGAGCAATTTATGGTAAGTTCTTGTATCTTTGATGACGTGATTGTGATGTGTTGATTTCACTCCGTTGAGCCCCCCACCCCACCAATACACACGCACACAAAAAACAATGTTTGTATCCCAAATAACCCCTTTTATGATTGCCTATTCATAATCTTTAGACATTGTTCTCAAAATGCCATAAAAGTTCACCGGTTGTATGTGGATTAGTTTATCTATTCCGGTTTGAGTCAAAACCTTATATACATCTTTGTAAACTGTCAACTATCTATTTTCATTGAGGAAGGTAGGTGACAAGTTTGGAAGTTCTTGGCTCTTTGCATTAGAGATAGGGTTTTTCTGAACACGCCTAATTTGTCAGCATACCTCTCACATAGATTGTATCCATTGTACGCTTAAAGGATGTTGACAACTCAATTTCTTACGTAAGAGGAGGATGTTTTCGATCTCAAATGGAATTTATAAAAAAAAAGTCAAGTATCCCATCGTAATTGAAATGACAAGAAGATGAAGCTTAGAGTTAAATGATACACGACCAGAAACCAGTTTGATTGAGTTCCATCCAATCCTTTTGTTCGTATATTGACATGAGACATCATATTTTCTTTTTTATGCGTTCTACCTTATACCTTCTTAAATAAGGTAAATAATTTATGTTGAACCACTCCAAGACTCATGAACCACAAGAACCATCTAAAAGAAAAATCTACCAAAGTTCATGACTTTCTGAATTGTGAGATAACATAGAAAAGATAAAATATCAAGTTGTTTATCAAACTAAACTTCTTGGAATTTGTAGAAAACCGTCAGAGAACCAAATGTAATATCATATGGAGTTCTCTTATTTAAGGCAATTGTGTATGCATAGTTTACACGTTTCCATGTCTACGTGAACAAACTTATGGTTACCAGTATGCTAATGTGCTGGGATTGAGTCTTTATCTGTTGTTTTTGAGTTTATTAATAACCTGCTGTTGTCTTCTAGCACCACCTACATCTGGAGGACTTGCTCCTGCAATTTCTTTGACAGATAATGCATTGAAGCACTTTAATAAGTTGAGGTCTGAAAGAAATGAAGATTTATGTCTAAGAATTGGTGTCAGGCAAGGAGGATGTTCTGGCATGTCTTATACTATGGATTTTGAGAACAGGGAAAATGCTAGACCAGATGATTCTTTTATTGAATACAATGGATTTGTCATAGGTATGACTGCATGTTCATTTAATTCCTTACGAGGAATTTGAAATTGAATTATTCTATCCTGTTGCACTTGTCTGTACTTAAGCTGAAATTGCTGTCAATAATAGTTGAGTGTTAAACATGGGTGTCCAGTCAACAAAAAAATAAGTGACACGTCGAATTTGTGTTCGACTTTAAGTACCGCAAGTGTACGGATCGTTCAAGTAATAAAAATGGGTTTTGAAGTCCAAGTATCGTTCCCACAGAGATTGAATTAGTTCAAACGTTACCTATCTCGACCTTAACCGAAACTTAAGTGAATTCAGAGAGATGATCAAACTATGAAATTATCTAAATTATACTAGGAATGCAAGTTTAAATGAAAGTAAATAACTAAGTGCAAATTACGAATTAAATGCAGATGCTTGATGAAATATATGTATGAAAAGCGTACTAGGATCCCGAATCCCCAAGTAGACTCACCCTTAACCTTTATTTCAAAATTTGATAGCACAATGAATCGGTTGAAGAGTCAATGTTCCTAAAATATTCAACAATCTCTCTTGAGTAGAGCTAAACCTATCCTCGCATACCATTTGACTATATCTCTATGACAAATGCCAATATACAAGAATGCATAACGTTTTATGAACACTTAAAGACTCACGTAAAGCATAGCGGTATATCTCTATCCCCTATCGAACCTTACGATGATTTATACCTTGTAGAATTTATTCCCCTTCTCTCGAATGTATGAAATAGACCACCCAAACTCACATAATCATTGCGCATATAATTATGGAGGCAATAAAGAGAATATAGACCATTCAACAACAAATATTCGTGTTTATAATCAAATTGCAAAATAAAGAATTAAAGGTTCACAATACGAGGTTCATCGTTCACCTAGTACAATAAAAACCTAGCCTAGCATGGATAAATTGAAATAACAAAGAAAATATTTTGGAGAAGACATCACCCAATTCTTGAATATAAAGCTTGAAATCTTGGATCTTGGAATGAAAGTCTTCGTCCTAGCCTTCAATCTTGCTCAACAATGTCGTTTTTCTCTCTAGGAAGGCGTAGCCCCTCTTTTTGGACGAGATTAGGGTTATAAAGAAGTTCTAGATGCGTTACCATAAGTGTTTGATTCAAATAAGGAAACCAAAAAATCGCGCCCAGAATGAACCATGCGACTACATGGTTATACAAAATTTTCACTGTTCATCCTCGGTAGATGCTTGCGCGACTGCATGGACTTTCTACCATGCGACTGCATGGTAGAAATTATTTCTCCTTTGATTCACTTTGGTCTCCAAGTTTGTTTCATCCACCTTTTTGGCCTTGATTTCTTCTCCTTCTTCTTCTAACATCTCATGATATCACAATGTGTTACTTAGCTCAATCCCATGCTTTATTCACCATTCGGGTCATCTTTTGAATAATTGCATTTTGGTCCTCGGAGTTTCATATTCTTCCATTTTGGTCATTTTTCGTTCATTTTCCCATACTCTTCATTCCATCCATCAATGTAATCCTAAAAACACAAATTATATCGGATTAAGCCATATTTCAACATATACATCAACAATTTTCCATGTTTTGTGACCTAAATAAGTGTGCAAAACACACTTATCAATAAGCATGAGTATATTATGTTTCTTCATGGAAGACTAGTTACCATCATTTCTGTCCCTAATATTATGCAGTTGGTGAGTTAATGAGGATGAGACCTTTAAAATCCAAACCTGAACCTGATATAGTTTTCTCTGGAAATTGGCCTTCTATATATATATTCTTTTAGTTTAAAAGTTTTGATTTTTCTGATATTGGAATGGTGGATAGCATCTGACTCACAATGGCCTTGAAACAAGTTCATCTTCTTAATGACCTAATCCAAATTTCTTAAAGCAAAAGTTGTTTGATTGAGCTTTAACATGTAGAATGGATGAAAGGATACATTTGATTGCTATTGCTATGCATAAGTATAGCATTTGAGCAACAGATTACTAAATAGCATGAAGAGTACTACATATTGTGCCCTAGTTACTTAATCTTTTATGAAGAACGGCGATGGTGAAAAGGGTTCGTTCATTTTTCTTTTCTCTAGCATAATTATCTTTGACATAGCGACGATGCAATCAAAACCATGCATTTGAGTCCATACTTGAAATTTCTACGAGCTGTTATACTTGTGAAAGAAATTAGTATTTGGAAGTTATAGACTTGTAGATATCTCTTTGAAATTTCTTTTCTTTGTTCCATAGTATGCTAAATCACAAGATGCCTTCATTGAAGTTTCTCCAGTATCAGCAGAGCTGCTATTTATAACGGATTTAAAACTATGCTCTGAGCACTGGAGCAAATTTTCATGTTCATCATTAACTTTATTTTCTTCCAAGTTGATTGCTGGACTTGAATAGTTTTACAATCAGACTGGACTTCAATTTTTGTTACAATCTGGTGATCATGCCTGTGTCTAGTAGTTTGATTATGAAAAAGCTGACTGGCTGCCTAGTTGGCAAATAGATGGGTTGATCAAATTTTAATCTTGTTCAAGTGCAGCTAAGTTCAATGATCAATATGAAATTTCACCTTTAGATGGTATTTCTTAAGCCTGCTGCTCCTTTCATCTTCTCTATCTGGCTGTTATTGATATTTTCTTTTGCCTTCTCTGACCATGCAGTTTGTGATCCAAAAAGCCTTCTCTTCCTATATGGTATGCAACTGGATTACAGTGATGCACTGATTGGGGGAGGCTTTAATTTCAAGAACCCAAATGCTACACAAACCTGTGGCTGTGGTAAATCATTTGCTGCTGAGATGTAAGGTTGTGCACTATAGAATCTAGTCTAGAATTGGTATAATGTAAAAACTTGGTTGAAACTTATTCAACTTGATGGATGTATATTCGCGTTGGTGTTAGTCACTGCAATGCTGGACATGACGAGACAAGATAGTACAATAATTTTTATTGTTCTTTAATATTGTCCAATTTTTATGCTCTTGTAGATAAGAGATGGAAAATGATGCACCATAAATGGATATAATAGTTTTGCTTAAAATTACTTTGAAATTTGACTTTTATGGATATAAATGGATAATGCACAGGCAACGTGAATACAAACTAACAACTTTGAGATTAAGCCCTTGTTTGGTTTTGCTAAGATTCAAATTTTTAATAAATATTGATTAAAATTGATGAACTGTATGGTTGAAAAGTTAAGGATTCATAAATTTGTGGTTGAAATCAATTGTCGAATTTGATTTAGATTTTATATAAACTAAACGGGGGCTCAACTTAATAATATAATTGTAATACCATCATTTTCAAAATTATTCAAATAGAATCAATGATCTTAATTAGTGCTGAGTATTATTTATTGCATTAATTTAGAAGCATTGTGTATTCGTTACTCTCACTTATTAATATAACAAATATTAGAATTTACTTTGCTTTCAAAAAACAAATATTAGAATATTTTTCCCAAAATATTCCTGCTAACACCTATTGTTTCAAACATATTCAAAAACAAAAAAAATTTAACTACACAATAAAATATTATCGTCCAGTGTAAGATAACTAGTAATTATTTAAACTTGACATGCCCTCAATTCAAAAATTTGAGTAAAAAGTTCGAATTTGTGCATCTTGTAAAAGAGTCTAATGAGGATATCATCTTGATCAACTTCCTTGAAAAAAAATTCCTAGTTGAACAAGGTGCTTTAAAAAAATTGTGCAAACAAGTTCAAAAGTAGAAAAGTTTTGCCAAACAGATCTTAAGCATATTTGATTAAATTTAAAAACATGAAAACTAAAAGTGAGAGAGATTTTTAAAAAATGGTAATTGATGCAAAAACTTCCCTATTTGCCTCAATTATGGAATGGGATAATTGCAGCAAAGGTTCCAAACCTTTCAATTTTTTGCACATTTTACCCTAACCTTTGATTTGTGCCAGCGGAGGTCCCAAACCTTTCAAAAATATGCGTTGGAGGTTCAAATGGATGATTTCCGTCCGTTTGACCGTTAGTTGACCCAAATAGTCAAAATTGATTCAATTTTAACTCAATTCAAAAGGACAGAATGTGAACTTTACAATTAACACATTAAAAAATAAAAAAACAAATAGAAAAAAAANAGAAGATGTTCAAAAAAAAAAAAAAAACAAATAGAAAAAAAAAAAAAAGAAGAAGCTAGCACAGTAGCACACTCTCTCTCTTTCTTTCAAACTTTGCTGGCACCACCCCCATCAGCCCCAAAATTGAATCCAAACCGCCGCCGCCACCCATATCTCAACTCCTCACCTCTGCCAACTGCCACTGGGAAATGGAAGGTGAAGTAAAGCTCCGACTACCAGATTCCACTTCCCTCCAACGCCTCTCCACCATCCTCTCCCGCCTCCACCGCAAGACCCATTTCAGGAAAACGTGTTTTCCGACGGCACCAACGCCGAGCTCTCCTCCAACCTCGCTGTACTTCGCCTCTGCTTCTACGACCTCGATTCCCACTCCGTCCTCTTCATCAAAGTCAAGCCCATTCTCCTGGTTTTGTTTCCTTTTATGAAAAAAATTTGAAATTTTGTTATTCTTGAAATTTAATTTCTGCACTGAAATTCCAATATTATTCGTCCCCGGTCAAAAATTCATAAGGGAAATGGGGCAGATGGGTAGAGACCACAACATTCACAGCCCCGGTTTGTGAGAGACTGAGTTTTGGAGGTCTGGGCGGCAAGGGACAGGTCCTTGTGGAAGTGAAATTCGTGAAATTGATGCAGAATCAAAAATGGGGAAAACCAATATCGGGTGAGGCGCCTCTGCTAGTAGTCTCTGCATTCGAAGGTAAAGGCAAACCATTTACAACAAATGCACATTTACTTCAGTTGTGCTCAAAAGCATCCCAGTAATTTGATTGGCAAAATTGACGAGGTTGGTGAGGGGCCGAGTTTTGGAGGTCTTGGCAGCGAGGGATGGCGGTTGTTGGTGTCGTAAGGTTTGAAGCGCCAAGTTTTGGAGGTCTTGGCAGCGAATGTGAAGGTTGTTGGTGTCGTAAGGTGGGTCTCACCGATCTGCCATTTCGAAAATTTCAAGGAATGTGGTGATTGTTGATGGTGGACGCTGATTTACGGTGGTGGTGGAGGACGCCGGCACGTTGGCAGCGGCGATGGTGGTGCTAAGGAAGTGGTGTCTGCCGACAGCCTTTGGAGAGGAAGAGAGAGTGTGGTTGCTTCTTCTTTTTTCTATTTCTTCTTTATTTTTTAATGTGTTAATTGTAAAGTTCCCATTCTGCCCTTTTGAATTGAATCAAAATTGAATCAATTTTGACTTTTTGGGTCAACTAACAGTCAAACGGACAGAAACCATCCATTTGGACCTTCGACGCATATTTTTGAAAGGTTTGGGACCTTTGCTGACACAAATCAAATGTTAGGGTAAAGTGCGCAAAAATTTGAAAGGTTTGGGACATTTGCTGCAATTATCCCTTAATTTATATAATACGTTATCGGTGCTTAGTATAATATGAGCATTGATATTCGGTAGGTCATTCCCATTGTTTACTATTTGAGAACCATTGGTAGAATTTATGAATGTTATGTACCTTTTAAAAGTGTGTGGGTTTGTATTTGGATAAATTTCACAAAGTTTATACGATGCTCTCCAATTTTTTTATTGGCATAAATTTTTAAAAATCCTCCCAGGGTTTTCTGAACCTCTGGTCTCTCTCTCCTCTCGGAGTTTCTCTATAGAGGTTTGATGTGGGTTTTTTCTTCCTGATACCTCCAGCCTTTCTCTTCTCCCTTGCTCTTTTTTCGCTTTTTTCTGTGTTTCCTTCGGGGGGTGGGAGCTTCGGCTCCCCCCTCCCTTTTCTTTTTTCTTATTTCTGTTTTTTTCTGTTTTTGTTTGTGGCCGCGGTTTGAGGTTGTGGTCAGCGATAATGGGGTGGTGTCTCTATCTGCGTCCCGGCGGTGTTGCAATTGATGGGGACTCGTGTCACCGGATGGCGTGGGTCGGAGTCTGCAGGGAGAGCGCTGTCGTTGCTATTGCCGGCGGGTTTGTTGGGTGGCTTTTGTGTTGGCGGTCTGATTGTTGTTGGGTGGGGTTTTGGTTGGTTTTTTTGCTGTTTGTTGGATGGTGGTTTTTGGTGGTGTTGCCGGCGGGTTTGTTGGGTGGTGTGATTGTTCTGCTGTTGTTGGGTTTGGGTCGGTTGTTGGTCGGTGTTTGGTGTTGTGTGGGCTCGTGGATTTTGGGTTCGTTGTTGAGACTCTGTCATTTCAGAGTGCGCTTTCTCTCTTCGGAGATGTTTGAAGTTTAGACACTGTCCGTCTTGTGCGGGAGAGCTCAAGTGCTGATTGCGTTAGTGGGCTTATTGTCGGGTTTTCCGTACTCTTAAGTCACAGCTGTAACTTCGCAACGGACCACTTCCACAGTTCGATTTTTGGTGTTTGTTGATTTGGTGGTGTATTTGTTGTTTTTCTGTTTGCTTTTGGCTTCGTTGTTGTATAGTTTGTTGTTGTTGTTGATATTTTTGTTTAGCTCTGGTAGCACTTAAACTCTCTTTGGAGAGCATTGTGTTTGAGGTGTTTTCCTTATTGTATCGGTTTTATGCTAAGTCAGTGGACGTGATTTTATAAAAAAAAAAATTTTAAATACAATTAAATTAAAAAATTGAAGATGTATGCTCTACCCCATCTCATCTCCACTGCCCAAAGATCCTTGACAAGGAAAAGGAATGGGAAGGGCCATTCCAACGTATCATTTTTTTTTTTTTTGTAATTTAATTATTTTATTTAAAAAATATATAAATGTATCATTTTACTCTTTTAAAATTGATTAAAAAAAAAGAGTGAAGAATAATTTTTCTGGCCAACTAACAATGGAATAGACGGAATTAGTCCATTTGTCCTCCAATTAAAACGAAATTAAAGGTTTGAGACTAGGTGACACAAATAAAATATTTAGGCATAATCTGAAATAAATGACAAGGTTTGGAACAATAGCTACAAGTTTCCAATTTTTTTTTTTATTTTGGCCTTCTTTACAGGGGTGGGCATGGATTGGGCTGGATCGATTTTTGTTTCAACCCAAACATAACTCAACCTGATTGATTTGATCAAAATTTAACTCAATCCAACCCGCGTAAGGGTTGAAATCCAACCCAATCAAATATTGATCGAGTTGGGTTGAGTTTGTCGATTTGAGACAACTTGTCAACAAATATTAAAGTCATCCGATTTTCTATTATACAGAATTCTAATAGACAAGATTAAATAGTAAATAAATAAATAAAATTATCTATTATTATATTCAATCCAGTATTCTAAAATGCGTAATGCGTTGCGATGCGTCGAGACCGAGAATCAAGAATCATAAGTTTAGGCGTATCAATGAGAAGAATAAGCATCATAATGCATTTCGTATTTTTAAGGCAATAAATATATTTTTATATAAAAAAATAGATTTTTTACCCAAAAAAAATAAAATTGGGTGGCATAATGTGCGCCTAGGCGGAATAATGCTCGCATTAGGCGTGCCTAGGCATGCGCATTGCCCCGCATTTTAGATGGAAAACGTATTTTCCATCGCATTCCAGAATTCGACGCGTTTTGGCCGCTTATCGCACCTAGGCGGCGCATTTGCGCGAATTTTAGAACATTGATTCAATCCTCATTTGCCAAGCTTTTTATTCTTTTAAAGTTGATGGGTCGAGTTGGACGGGTTTATTCGATTTTCATGGGTTAACCCATAATCCGACCCAACTCAACTCGCCTACATAATTAAAAAATCGAACCCACTTAAAAACAACAAAAAATGGACCCAAACTGTTCAGGTTGGTTCGATTTGGGCAATTTTGGCTGGTTCGATCGGATTTTGCCCACCCATACTCTTTAGTGTATTTAAGGCTTAAACTAATGGAATTAGACAATAGGGAGTAATTCACAAGGTTTGGGCCATTTGGGGAACTTTTTCACCAAAATAAAAGGATAGGGGGGTATTTCATAATAGAGGCAAAGGTTTTGGCCTTTTAAAAAATAAGTAAACCTAAACCCCGTGCTCACAAAACCCCACCGCGCTTCTTTCCTCAGTTACTGGTTCGATAATGGCTGTTTCATCTCTCCACAATATCTCACTCTCTGCTTCGTGGAACCTTAATTCCACCTCCAATGTTCCACGTCCACATAATCCCTTCAAAACCAACACTCGCGGATCCCTTTTTCTTCTTCACAACCCCAAGGGATCCAAATTCCATCCCATAGTAACCAAAAAACTCCACATTTCACCAGCACCCACAACAGAATTTTCGCTTTGTAGCTGTTTATTACCACCCCAGAACGATATTCCCAAGATTCTTGTTAAAAATATTGCAACAGTATTACTGGGATCACTTATTATCGTGGGCTCTTTAAAATCTAGGCCTCTACTGGCACAGCCTGTTCAAGAAACCGAGAGTCTGGACCAAAAAAGAGAGAACTGGAATGGGAAAAGTAGTGCAACTGAAGAAGAAGAGGTGATGTATGTGAAATTAGTGCAAGAAAATCCAAAAGATGTTGTGGCTCTGAAGATGGTCGTTAATGTGAAGATGAGGAGTGGGAAGACTAAAGAGGCATTGGAGTATGTGGAGAGATTGATTAAAATTGAGCCTAGTGAAATGGAGTGGAGGCTTCTGCAGGCTCTCTGTCATGAAATGTTGGGAAATTTGGGTAAGGCCAAGAGCTTGTTCAAAAACATACTCAAGCAGAGGCCTCTCCTGCTTAGAGCTCTGCATGTATGATATTTCTTCCCCTTTTATGTTATGTGCTTTCACCTGATTACATATTTTTCTATTCAGTTGTTCTGAAGATAGGAAATTCTTGACCCTTCCTTACATGGTTCATAGCTTACCTGTAAATGTTACATCTAAGTTAATCGAAACCCAGTTACAGGACAGATGGGAGCGGCGGCGGGTAACATGTGGTGGAGACTATGAATTGGAGAAGAACGCCTTTTTCAATGCGGCTAATTTGCATTTGATGTCTAAAATAGGCCTTTTACACAAAAACATTAGAGCTGCTCCCTTTTTTCACTTTGACTAGAGATAAAGGCCTATTAAAAATTTCGTTTTCAAAGACTTGTTCCATGATTTATTATTTGAACATGGTGTTAGAAAACCCAAAAGCATATGAATTATGATGACACTTATCTTTTAGAGATACAAGGTATCCTTCGACTGAAGTTACACTTCCCTGGGTTCAAAGGAGAAAAAAAAGCTATAATTGTTTACTAGTACAACTCTCTGATGTATATGTTACTCAATATATAGTTTCTGAACGTGATATTATTTGTGATTGCCTATGGCTTAAAGGATCTAGTTTGGGTAACTGATAACTCTACCTAGTCTGGCCTTAATTTACAATATGATTTAATACGTACCAACCAACTTCAGATGTGAAATCAGTGTATTTGCACTGTTCCTAGATTTCCACATCCCAGACTATTTCTGTTCCTTTTCTCTTGTGCCTTCTACTTGCATTATTAATAAGTTGCCATCATATTTTTGGACATGCTTTTTGTGCTTCTAGTTGTTGCTCGTAGAAATGAATATTTAATGTGTCCTTTATGCACGTATATGATGAATACATCTACTATAACTATGCTCAAATGTAAATGTACATTTACGTGTAGTATTACTTGGCTTGATTTCAATGCAAATTATGCATTGCCTTCAGCCTTGCACAGCTTGATGAGATCCACTTTTTGCACTGTACTATTGTGGATACCATTGGAAGGAGGCTTCTATTTATTGATTAACTTACCTCCTTCAAACTAGTAGAGGTACATGAAGAACGACATATGCACATGGGTCCCCACCCTCGGGGAATAGTTGAATGGGAAATACTTCCCAAAATATAGAAGAACTTCTTGTTTGTTTAAATTGGCAATTTGCCATCAAAGAGGTTATGCGCGGCTCATTTTCCCCTCTTTTAAACTCATTTGTTAAACAAGAGCTATGACTATTATAACTTGTAAGATTGAAATACTGTGCTATATTTATATGGTTATCTGAGGAGAGATGCTTGCTTCCTACGTTATGGAGTTTGTAGGCTCGTGAAATTAAAAATTCTTGTGTTTACGTACATTGCAAAACAATGAGTGTAAAGGGCAGAATTTGTCTTTCCCTTTCCTGAGTTTGATGACTGCGATTAGCCAATTACTTAACCTTGCTTGAGCAAAAGAGGGAAGGAGGTTATTTAGTTTGGCTGGAGATGAATGAAAAGCTATGGAAGAATGGTGATTTTTATAATCTAATTATTTATGACTTCTCTTGAGTGGATAAATAATGAAGTTGACCAAATGGTTCTAAAGGAAATTTTTTTACATGGTGTTCATTTTAATATAATCAAAGTCTCAGCTGTATTGAACCTGACCTGTCAGAAGAAATTGGATATGAAGTGGTATCAGTGAATAAGCTTGTTTTGACCTTTTCAGGTGTTGGGTTTCTCGTCACGTTCCTTAGATGTTTATGTCCCAATTGTTCCCCTCTTCACCCAACAAATTTTTTACAGTAAAATTAGCACTGATACTGATTGAGTTGCTGCATAGTGACGACTTCTTGGTCAAATAAATGCTTGAAAGTTGAAACTGTAGTTCACCTTTTTTTTCATCCTAAATTTGTCTGGGTGTATTTTTGCAATTTATTTTCTGCGTTCATGGTAATTTTTTCAGATTATATACGCGCTTTTTACAAATTAAAAGGTGATGTATGATCCCACTTGTGACTAATTGATGTTCATTCCTATTCATGAAGTCATGTTGGGATGCGACCTTACATGTTTGCTCAATGTCTGATTGAAGTTTATATATTTGCTATTCTGTCAAGAATGAAATGAATTTTATGACATAACTTAAAAGAGTATCAGGTTTTCCATATGCCATGCTTGCTTATGTTATGGCGTGGTGAAAATTTAATGACACTGCATGGGCTATTATTCAATCACTTAAGATCATCTAAGTATTTAAATTTGCATTTTAAGAGTTTAACTTCATGGTCGATATACTCTCTTACTTTATCCATTACTGCTAATGCATAGTGAAACTTTACTGCCTGACCACTGCTGCTAATTAATAGTGGAACTTGTCTATGATTTTTCTTTCTTTGTAGGGTCTGGCAATGGTAATGCATAAGAATCACGAAGGTCCAGCTGTTTTTGAGATGTTGGAAAGAGCTTTGGAGGTTGCTCGTCTTGAAAAAAGAGTCAATGAAGAGCGAAATGTAAGAATATTGATTGCGCAGATGCATATCATAAAGGTAACAGTTTGACTATCTTTGTCAGTTAATTTTGGCTGCTTAATAGCGAAGTTAGTTTTCTAAACCACATTGGCTTCATTTAGCTATTCAGACATCAAGATTTGGAAAAATACTAAATCCAAGAACAACCAGCCTTCCCACTTTTGTCCCTCCCAACCAAAAAAGAAAAAGAAAAATATAAAGAGGGAGGGAGGGGGAATAATAAAGAATAGAAATCATTTTCTTACTCATTAGTTATGATGGTTTTGATTTATTCTTACTTAAATTATATTGATATTTTAGCATTAGACTTCTCTCTAGTTATCAAATGCTTGAATTTTGAAATTATTCTGGACTGTTGATTACCATACTGCAGTATTCAGGAAATCCTATGTATTTCTCATTTGCAGGGAAACTTCGAGGAGGCGTTGGATAACTTTCAAGCTCTTGTTAATGAAAATCCAAGGGATTTTCGACCTTATCTTTGCCAGGTTAGTGAAATAGCAGATCTTCGTGTTCCTTGTTTATTTTATTTTATTTTATTTTTGAAACTTCTCCAGTTTTCTCCATAATTTTTCGGGAAAATGGCACAAGGTCCCTAACATATGCCCCCTGTGCACTTCTAGTCTTGATTCTTCCATTTTTGGCACTGACCCCACAACCTATTGTTTTGTGCACAAATATTCCTTTAGACAGTTTTGTCCATTTTAGCGGTTAACATTCTAATATTGTCTACTGGCAGATATTATAGTCATATCATCATCCTGCCATTCTCGAGAGAGACATATGTGTGTGTGTTTGTATAGAGAGAATATATATATATATATACCACCAAACGCCACCATAACTATATAATGAACTACCCTCCTTAATGAACCCCGACATCATAGCACCCCAAGTAATACAGTTTATGTAAGGTTTTTCTGTGAATGATTCTGATGCCTCCAAATCGGCACTCTTCGCATAAAAATCCAACAAACTTGTCGTCACACACCAACTTCCTTCACCATAAAATTCTTTGAAGCAAACATTGATGGTAGGTGTTTCTTGTGATGGGTCTGAAACTAATATAGAGATAATAACATCAAGCTAATTAGCTGCCCAAGTACATGAGTGGTTTCTTCAATATGCATTAACTTTTTTTTTTTTTTTGTTTCTCTAAATCCTTCGTAAAATGAAAATAATGCTGGGAATTGCCAAGTACATGAGTGGTTTCTTCCAAATTTCCCTACCGGTACCCTTCTCCGGAGAAGATCAAACTAACTAGCAGCCCGAAATTTCAAAGATAGAATTTCAGAGGCAGTTACCTTCTAAAACAGTAACTGCTATATTCCGCAGTCCAATTCACCCCTACTAGTATAGAACCTTGCTATAGAACGAAAATGGATACTTCCAATTAGCTAGACTTGGACAGTTAAATTAAGTTGCATACATAAATATAACAATACCTGAAATTAATCATGGCCTCAAGAATAGCTTTCATACAGGATTTTCAGAAACTTCCATTTTCCTACATGCACCGATATATTTACCATTGAAGTTTGCCTTTCCTTTGGCACCTTTACCAGTCTTCAATTCTTCAAGCTGCAAATAGCCCATCAAATTATTGATGCTACCCAAAAATTGAAGAGGAAAGAAACAGAAAAAATATCTATTAGTTACATTCCCAATCAAAACGGAGAGAAATGGGCAGAAACTCATAAAAGTGATGATAAACCTGACATAAAGGTTCCGACTTCTTTCTTTTTCAAGAGAAATAGTGATGTAAGAACAGAAAGAGACATAAATAGTAGGGAAAATAGGGGAAGCATCAATAACTCATCAGGAGAGGAATTAGGAAGCAGGGGAGAGAAAAATAGGGGAAGCATCAATAACTCATCAGTAGTCTATGCAGTTGAAGATAGAGAGACCCAATGGACATCACCACTGATCCCACTTTTGTGGGACTTGAGGGAGAGGCTGGAGGTGGTGGTGTGGGGGGGAAGACCAGAGGGGAGGGTGGGCTCTGAGGGTTTGGGGAAGAAAGTGCAATTTTTGTTTGATGAAGTTCCTTCTCTTTTTCTTATTTTTCCTTTTTAATTAAAGATGAGAATATAAGTTTGTTTTCATTATATTATGTATATCATGTGCACTGCACATGACTTGAATGGACAAAATGTGTGAAACTGTCCAAAAGAACTATTTGCGCACAAAACCAATAGATTGAGGTGGTCAGTGCCAAGAATGGAAGAATTGGGACCGAAAGTGCATAGGGGCCTGCCAATGTACGTAAATTTTTCTTGCTAGAAGTTTATTTGCTGAACCATATTTTCAGATTAGTGGGAATTAATTTACCTTTGGGTGGTTCAGATGAAGTAATTAATAGTATAATTTTTGGGTCGAAATGCTATTAACCTAGCTCGGACAATTGCTAACCTTTGACGGAGATTACAGAAGACTTTTAAATTATTCTTTGTTAATGCTGGAGATGAGAAGAGGCAAGACGGCAAGAAAGTGACTCACTGTTTGAGGCAAGACGATTGAAGTTAGTATTGGACTCGAGTCACTCGACGATATTAAATATATCTAGTCCGATCAAGTACTCTTTACCAAACATGCCCTAAGAGTCAGGGTTATAACTGATACTCAAACGATACAGACCTTTGTTGCGCTACCTCTTTCGAATTCTCCATTGAGTTAATTATTTGTTGGGTTGGGATTAAGGAGGATAGGATATTTGTTTTATACAATCTTGACTAATTGCTTCATGAAATCTATTGCAGGGAATCATTTATAGCCTGCTGGACAAAAAGAAGGAAGCTGAAGAAAACTTTGAAATTTATCGAAGTCTTGTGCCTGACGAGTTTCCACAGAGGGGATTTCTTGATGATGTCGTCTTGGCGGCAAAAACAGAGTCAAGGCAACAGCTCGAAAAGGAGTTGCAAAGCTAAATTTCTGTACAAATACTTAAATCTTCTATCTCGCAGTTTTTAGCCCTGAATCTTTATCGAGTGTGTTAGTTCTTAGGACCAACTTGTACAGTGAAAAGTTCATTAGTAGATGTTGATTGAAATGGTGACTTCTCAAGGCTAGAATTTCAAATCACATTTTTGTGCATTCTTGTGGAAAGAATTGTAGAAAATACCATTTAAAGAAAAGGGCAAATATTTTGAAATGCAAAAAAATGGGCAGTGTTGAAAATAGATCTTAGCTTTGCTTTGTCAATTAAAAACCTATTCACGTAGCTTAATACAACAATACAAACAAGTAAAGTTTGATCCTTTGACATATTTAAAAAATCATAAGTCATAATTAGGGTTGGATGTGGTCTGATTTTTGAATCATTATGAAACGAATTGTCGAATTACAGATGCAAGGTCATGCCACCTCTACAGAAAAGTAAAGTCACATAATTTTTAAATCAAACCAACCTAAGCACCAGTTTGGTCTCCATCATAATTTAATACATTTTTCATTTTCCTTATTTTAATCACTTATTTTTCAATAAAATAATATTACACGTAAATTCAAAAAAATTTCTATTTTTTTAATCACGTACTTAAAATAATAATAACATTCCAAAATACATTATCCTAAAAAACTCATAATGGATCTGACTAAATTTAGATAAAACCGAACGCTAACCAAAACTGACAAGATTGATTTGATGAGCTTGATCCCAATTTAAATGATTTTGAAACTCTTTTTACCTATTTATTAAATACTTAAATACTTGAACCTTAAAAAAAAGAAAAAAATTACCCTAAACGTACATTCTAATTTTCAAATTTAAAAATCAGGTTTTTCAAATATAAAAATCAGATATATATTTTTTCAATAATTAGATAATAATCATTATTTAAAAAATTATATATAATTTTTATATCCATTCTATCTCTTGCTCACTTTCTCTCTAATCAATCTATCTCTATTACCGGTCTCTTTCTAATCTTTCTCTATTCACTCTATCTATTGTTACCTAGATTTGTACACTAGCCACCACCAAACTTGGTTTTTAAAGGTTGGTACTGTATAAATCCATGGGGCTCTCGCCCGTCCTTTAACTCAAGCACACCGACCTCCATTAAGGAGTGAAAGTCATCGTAGTTTTGGGTCAGAGGAAGGTGGTAGACAGTGGAGGGCGATGTGGACCTAGAACTTAATGTGTCGATCCAATATCACCAATATAATGAGTTCTAATCTGAAATGTCCAAGCTTTGAGTTCTATACTTGGTATTTTTTGCTTATCGATTCCTTTTTGCACCTACAGTTTACCGGTTCGAGTTGGAACCATCAGAGTGGCCTATTATCAGAGACATTTACAACCTTTCACCAAAGGAGATTATTTTCAAGCACGTGATTACCCAACACTCTTTATTTGTGAAGCACGATCTAATGGCTTCAAAAGGTAATGACCTCATTAATATTTTCGCCATTATATTTCCTCCTGAAATGTTAAGTGTTTACGCATATGTTCTTTTGTAGACAAGCATGATGAGAAGGATAACCTAAGGCTTGACATGTTTTGATGAGGAAAGTTGGTGAGAAGGGTCGGATCCTCAACACTTCCACCTCTACATACAAGCATCAGAGGGACAAATTGGCTCGGATAAGCCATTTAAATAAGCCTCAAATGCCACTGCGGGCAAAGGAAAGGAGAAATTTGAGCTTCCTCCTGAGAAGCCAAAGAAAAGGAAGGTAGCTGATGTGAGCGGTTTTCTTCCGTCTGCTACTCGCTAGATGACCCTCCTTGAGAGGCCAATAGTCCTGACACCCATTGCCGCCTTTTAGGTCAAAGAGGGCGAAGTGGAATATCCGAACAAGTCACTCTGGAGGAAGAAAGGGAAAGAGGTCGCCCAACAGGGGTAAAATGAAGATAAGGCCCAAAATTTTCTCTGGGTCATAAGGAAGAGCTCAACCCTACTGCATTCTCTATGCTTCCGCACGAGTTGCAATCAGTTACAAGATTTTATTAGAAGAACAAGACATAAAAGTACTCTTTACACGTTGAGTCTTGCGACTCCGTCAGGCCAATGGAGGCTGGAATTGCATTTCAGACCCAGGCAATGGGCTTCACAGTGACATCTCAGATAGAAATGAAGGAGTTCATAGGAATAGGAAGTTCCTCCAGAGGACTAATGAGGTCAAAGAGGAGGCCAAGAAACTTAAAGTTGCCAAAGGTTGGGTAATGAGGTTGAGGCTCCCTAGACTAAGCAAGTCGAGCCTAAGTCAAAGGTGGAGTTTTCGGTTCCTTAAAATGATTGTCTAAAAAACGAAGTCCATCTTTGTTGCTCTGAGATGAATGCTTTAGCAAAGTGAGTGGAGACTTCGGACAACCATCAAAAGATGGCGTTTGATGCCTAGGATGTTTCCAATAAAGAGAAAGAGGAACTGAAGGTCCAGGTAGGAGTCTAACTACAGAGGTCGATGATGTGAGGCAGCAGATATGACTGTTGGGAGGAGGAAGTTTAGAGTTATATCAGGAACTTTCATAAGACAATGGAGTACACTAACCTCACCATCTATTGGAGGCAAGTTGCTTATGATGAGATCTTGACTAGGATGGCTGAACTGCTCCCTGAATTCGATTTATCGGTGTTGAGGATTAATGAACTACATTTTGTGCCAGTACCAATTATTCTATAGGGAAAAAGTAAAAGGATGATTATGTTATGAACCAGTTATTCCGGTAAAGATGGTTTAGGGTGATCTTGTTTGGAGAAGACGAAAATATCTCGTTAAAAAAAGGAAAAACTCTTGGGACGTTTACTTCAGTGTATTCAACAACGAGGTCGTTTCAAATGAGTTCTCGACAATTGTGGATGTTTTTGATGATTTAGGCTGGTGTTTGTTTCATTACCAAGGTGCTACTCGACTTGCTGGACAGTCATAAATTATGACTTGTTAGCAAAGATGGTGATATAATTAGGTTGTCAACTGAATTCTATTTTGAAAATGATTGGAAAATCTAATTAAGGTCGACATTAAGAGGAATTCTATTTGTTGGAATGCTTTTGGAATCCTATTCGAAGTTTATTTGAAAAATTCAAGTTGAAATTCAATTTGGAAGCCTAATTGAAAGTTGTAATTTGTGTTACACTTGAAGAGATCAAGATATGTACTAGGAATGACTTTTTTGTGCAATTATGTTCGCCTAGAGCTCGAGCACCGAAAAGAGTGAAGCTGGTGCCGCCTACACCAATCAGATGCTCGAGCATCATGGACGGTGCCCCCGGCATTCGAGCACCATATTCATCCAGCCTAGGGCCTTCGTTGTTTATAACAAATTGGTATTGGAGTTATCCAATAATTTCTTCGTTGTTTATAGCAAATTGGTATGAACGTTCAGGCTTAATTCATAGGGAGATTTTATTTTTTAGGATGACAACCATGAAATATGATATTCCACTTTTGGATTGCGGCACAAAATTTCCGTTGTAGTAGATAAAGATGCATGCAATACTCGCTTAGATGAATTTGGACAATACGTTGTTGGGATTTGATAAGGTGTCCATACCTTGGAATTAAGAGGAGAAACTACGTAGGGATCGGAAGGCCCATCACAAATTCATCTTCATCTTTCGAATAACATTCTTTAGGATGTTTTGAAAGAGAAGTCGGCCGCTACGTTATGGTGATCGATGCAAACAGTCACGAACCACTGCTTCAGAAATGTGACAATATCCAAGCCATGTTTCGATGTCCTCTTCAAGTTGTTGCACAACAATCTCATTGTCCGAAGTATCCGACACATCGGAGTTTGGACGTAGGTTACAACGCTGAAAACGATACTGTGACATGGTGCTTTCGATGATGCACTAAGGACATAATTACTTTACCGATAGAAAAAAGTTCACTGGGAAGGGGGCTACAAAATGTGTTTTTGGTGTTCAAGTAGCTTCATTTCAATGTATTGTTCTAAGTCTTAAGCTTGTATATATATTGGTCATTAATATTGTTGTTCCCTCCATCAAAAGACAATTGCAGGGAATCAATTCACATGTTAGATTTTTTGCATGACAATAGATTTTATATTACGAAAAGGTGATTGAAATGATGGATCACTCACTTAAATTTCCCATGCCTTGTGTCATTCTTATATTGTTGTGTTCTTGTGTGCTTTCATTGCATTAATTTAGAGATAAAAAAATTAAAAGTTTTAAAAATATTTTTTGTGTAAACTGTCTAAGGTCAATATGATGTAATTGGGTGAAAATCTCAAGTTAGCAGTCGTTCTACTTGAATACGTGTTTAATGAGGGACATTACACTAATCAAGGCATAAAAAAAGCACATTTTATTTGAAAATTTCTCTTAATAACCTTTATGACTTGAGTTATTAACCTTGTAAGGGTATTAGAACATGTTGCCCTAGAGTCAACTGACCTGGGAGTCATCAGCCTAAATCTTATTACATGGGTCATTTAGAAAGGTGGAGAGAATATTGCAAATAAAGAAAAAAATGTTGAAAAAAAAATTGAGAGAAAAATTATAGAAAAAAAAGGTATATAAAACAGAAGACACACCAAATGCCTTGATTAAGTCTCAAACACTTGTTTAAGAAAATTTGACTTTTGATAAGAGAATGTTAACCTAATTAAGTCCTAGATATTGAAGCAATCAAATTTAATGAATAATCTTTATTTATTGACATATTGACTTACAATTAGTGAGATTTCCCTAAATTAGAGAGGTGTGGATAGTATAAAATTCAACTTTAGTTCACACACTTGAAAAGAGAAAAAAGAATAAATTTGGGGGAGGGTGTGAATCTTACGAGTGATGAACAAATATATTTGACCATTGAGGGTCGAAAATTGAAAAAACTCATGAATTCATAATCCT